CTTTTCTGTTCTTTTTTTTTTCCTTTTTTTTTTCATTTGCTCCCAAAAGGCAGGCAGAACTTGCATAATAGAGTGATGTCAGATGTGTGCAAAACAGACCAACAAAACCTAATGCATTTCCCTCCTTTGTCTGTCAGTCTCTCTACTGCCTAACATTTTCCCTCAGAAAGCCACTTAAAACACATCAGCAACAATCCCTCACAAAACAGCCACTTGTTGGCTAATTGTGCTGAGTACCTGCCCATTCCAGATTTTTCTCTTCCGTTCTGCTGTGGGGGGGAGAAGGAGGGACGGCTCCCGCAGGGAGCTGCCCGGCTCTAAGCCGCCTTGGCCAAGAGCAAGAGGGAGCCAAGGGGGGTGTTTGCCACCTCTTGGGGTGCTCTCAGCACCAGGCAGGATCGGACCTGGGGTTTCAGCCCGTTTGGATGCTCAGGTGGAAGAGCATGCTGCAGCGGGGAGCTGGGAGCGCTTCTGCCCCCAGGGCCACAAAGGGCATGTCCGCACTGAGCACCTCCAGGCCCACTCCCCAAGCACACCAGAAATCGAGATCTCGTGAGTGGGGCAGCTTCTGGGTCCCATTTCTAGGCTCGGTGGGTGCAAGTGGGGGCAGGTGGGCAGAGTGTCCTCAAGACCATCCTTCCCAGGGGGCGTGGATGTAGTTTGGCTCACTCCGTGACCCACAAGGGTAGCTTGGCTTTTCAGCCTGTGTTTTGGCAATCTTGCCATGGATGATATGAAAATGTCTGTCTCTGATTGAAATGTCTTCTCTGTTTGTTCGCTGCGTTAGGAGTCCAGTTCTGGTCTACTCTTTCCTCAACAAGACTCCCTGAATGATGGGAGATTGAGGAGAGCTGTGGTACAGAAAGCACCCAAGAAGTGATCCCTATGATCTCAAAGGGCAGGTATTAGGCAGATAGCTTCACCCTTGCTTGCGGCTTGTTAACAGAACCGGCTGGAAGAAAATAGACCTCTGGTAAGACTCACGATACCATTCTGCAGTGAAGAGGTGACCTGATCCAGGAGTGACAGATGGACTCCAGTGAAGTCAACGGGAGTTTTGGCTAGGACTTCCCTGGCTCTAGGGCTTCATCCTGGGTACCTGGCACCACCGTGAACTGCTCTGTCGTGGCAAAGCTGACATTGCTCACCTGTGCCACCCTGTTCATGATGAGTGCCAGCCATGGTCACTGTGTTCAGCAGCACGTGCCCCAGGCAGCTGGAGAGCAGTTCCAACATGGCCCTGGCAGTATCGATGGATGCCAGGAAAGGGATCATGGGACCTGATAAGTGAGAAACCCCCTGTAATTTCTGATGGGCAGCCCTGGAGGGAAGCTCACACAGTGTCCGAGTGGTAGGACATCGCACCGTGGGCGATCTGCTGAGTGGTTTATTTGAACGAGGGCAGGGGGCAGCTGCAGTGATTACCCAGGAGAGCACCTTCAGCCGGTGGCAGAGGTGCAAGGTTCCCTCAGATGATTTCATAGTTTCATAGTTTCTAGGGTCAGAAGGGAC